GTGTCAAGGACAGAAAGGCAGATGTGGCAGTGGAAGATGTCAAAGCAGTTTGGAGAAAAAAAACAAAGTTAAAAAAAAAAGACTAATCTACTATTAATTAGTCGTCTACTACTTTAATAGTTGATTAGTCGTCGACTAATCATGGCAGCCCTAGCGTCCATGGTGTCTTGTTGCATTTACATTACACCCAGTGTGTAAACTTTGTGCATACTCCACACCTTGTTTCCTGTTTTTGGTCCTTTTTTATTGCTGTTACAGCGCCACATACAGGTCTGGCATAGTTATTACAATATTTTAGTAAATTCAAATAGATGAAGACTTAAAAACTGTATCATGTTAGGACTGAATAAAGAATGTTTTGGACAAAACATTTTCGTGTGGACACGTCTTCAAATTTTCAACATCTCAGTCGATCAGTTTGGGCTTTTTTTTTTACAGCTGATGATTTTTAAAAATCAGGACAGTCAGTATACAGTTTTGTATTTTTCAGTGAATGAAATAACTGCTTAACCCAATCAAACATAGGTAACAACTGTTAAAAGGACTTCCCCATATCTGCCATTTATTACACTATGAATCTCCATGTTAACATTTAGATTGATTTGCACACAAAGGTGTGTCAGTGTYACCCTGATTTCATATTTCACCCAGTAAGCAATCACGCATCCATAACTGTCACATTTTTTTGTCCTTTCTGTAGGATCATCCACGAAGCGGGCTACTCAGAAGAGGAGTGTAAGCAGTACAAGGCTGTGGTCTACAGCAACACCATCCAGTCCATCATCGCCATCATCAGAGCCATGGGACGCCTCAAGATCGACTTTGGTGACCCTGCGAGAGCTGTGAGTGATTGAAGTAGAAACGTGTTTGAAGTTTTTTTCGTTAAAAAAGGATGTTGCAAAGTTAAACTCTTTGTAATTGCCTTTTTTGGACGGGTTAGATGTAAATTTGATGTTTTCTGCACGTTGAAGCGCCGTATTTTGGTCATTCAGTCTCTTTAAAATGCCGTCATACGCCTGTAACCAGCTTCTCAGCTTGTCTGCAGTTAAGTACTAAACATAATTCTGGATTATTGACTTTAACGGCTGATTTTTGACTCCGACACCATCTCCCCAGGATGACGCCCGGCAGCTGTTCGTGCTGGCGGGCTCGGCAGAAGAAGGCTTCATGACGGCGGAGCTGGCGGGCGTCATCAAGCGGCTCTGGAAGGACGGAGGCGTGCAGGCCTGCTTCAGCCGCTCACGAGAGTATCAGCTCAACGACTCGGCAGCATAGTGAGTCACCCGCCGAGCGCACAAACAAGCCACTCCATAATTGCGAGGCTCACCAGAACCGTGAGTCACTCGCGCAACGAGAACTCGGCGGTCCTCCGCGCGCACCGAGGCTCTGTCAAATTACTGCCATCCAAGTGCAAACAAACAAAAGTGTTGTCTCGAGCAGCCCGACACAAGCTGCCCCAACCTTCAACTACGTTCWGGGAGCAGAAAGCTCCAGCTTCTGTCTGAACTTTTAGACTGTCAATATTTGCCTTCCTCTACCCAGCCTGGAGAGGCGGGGGGTCGAAACCCTGTTTAATCTTTGACCGCACTCTTCAGTAGGTTTGCCTCATGCTTTAAAGATGGYAAAATTTCACACAAAGATTTTCTTTCTAGCTGATCTGCTGACTCGTATGATTTTTTTTTTAGTAGTTGGAACCTAGCATTGTGTTGTGCAAGAGCACATGGCACTGACATAATACAATCACAGCCTTTTTTTTGTTTTGTTTTGTTTTTTTTCTTCCATGAAAAACATCAGTTTAATTGGTATGGAACAAACACCTCATGGTTCTGTTGCAGGTCAGTTGAGTTGACATGGTTAACCCCTGACCCTTGCGGCTACACTTATTATGTTTTTATTTTATTTTATTTTATTTTTGGGGGGGTTTGGGGTGGGTCTAAAGGAAAGCAACCTGCAACAAAGCAAACGCATGTTGTTTGTTTTCAGCAGTGTTTGCACAATGAGTCGTCAGGTACATCTTGTTTGGAGGAATGTGGGACAGCTCCCCGGACAGATGGCCTCTCGTTTGCAGGCCTCACACTTGGGGAGTTTCCAGGGGAGAGCCATATTGTTGCTGAATGTGGGAGGGGACCCACAGGGAGCCCACCAACCACTGAGAAAACAACGGTCCCTCCTCACTGAAAGACCAGAGTTGAGATTAAAACCTGGGTCCTGTTTAGTTAAAGCTCTACTTTTCTTATCCTTTATTTAATTTTAAAAAATCACATTATTGAACTTTTATACCTAAAATATGACTTGTTTTTAGTCTATAAATATTCACTGTTTGTGCAGAGGGAGTGTTAACTGATAACGATCTTCCACCTGTTTGTTCCTCTTTTTCTTTTTTTTTTAACGCCTCTCTCAGCTACTTGAACGACTTGGACAGGATATCCCAGCCCACCTACATCCCAACTCAGCAGGACGTCCTGAGGACCCGAGTGAAAACCACGGGCATCGTAGAGACGCACTTTACCTTCAAGGATCTGCACTTCAAGTGAGAACTTCTTCACGGTCGTTTTAAACATGCACCTGATTAGACTCTGCCCTCCCCCCTCCTGTCCCTGACTCATTCACACTCATCAAAATTCCCTTTGAACATACACAGCTGTGCGTTGTGACAGTCTGAGGGTGTTGCACACATCAGTGATGACTCAGTGGAGGCCCTTTTTGTTAGCGACAGACAGGAAGTGGAGGCAGCAGGCCTGATGATGTCACAATAGCAGAGGTTTGCAGCCTCGTTTCTGCATCACCGATGCCGGAACAGAAGTTCCATTTGACCTACGCGGTTAAAAAAGCTTTAACCCGGCAAGTGCGTTACGTAAACTGGAGATGAAACTCCAGGAAGTTCAGGGTTTCTTAAGGGCAGGTTTAGAAAGCAAGCAACTTGAGCGGGTCCCGAGAGAATCTGCAGAAATGAAATGAAATTAAAACTAATTCCTTCAAACGGTTCAAATGTTTTTATGGTGCTCTAAGCTGACAGCTGGTGGAGCCACAATGTTTATCTCTGCTTGAGGGCAAAGGTCAGACGGAGCTCGATTTTCAGCAAAAGCAAAACAAGAAATGCAACTTCAGACGAAAAGGTTCACACAGAGCAGAATGATCAGAATGCAAATRTCCACTCGCAAGGTCGGGACTAAAACTGAGACTTCAAAAACGTGACCAGAAAACCACCAGCAAGATCAGATTTTATCTCATCTGTAAAACTGGCAGTCATTTGCTAAGGCCGAGCTTAGATAATAACTTCTTGAAAGCTGTTTAGTTTAGGAAACATTTTATTTGTTCCATGGATTTTTTTATAGCCCTCCCGTAGCATTAAAGTCCAGACGTGTATTTGTTGCCTAAACACTGACTGTATTGTCTGTACACATGCTGAGGAACACGCTCACCTGTCCTTTCCTCTCTGCCTGCCAGGATGTTTGATGTGGGCGGTCAGCGCTCCGAGAGGAAGAAGTGGATCCACTGCTTTGAGGGCGTGACCGCCATCATCTTCTGCGTGGCGCTGAGTGATTACGACCTGGTGCTGGCCGAGGACGAGGAGATGGTTAGTCTGTCCGACACGCAGCTTGTAGAAAATAATGGCTTCTTTTTGTCTACTTTCCCCCTCGAGGGTCACCAAGCGGAGCACAGTATTTACCGTCTGCTCTCCTTATTTCCTCTCCCCCGTCAGAACCGAATGCACGAGAGCATGAAGCTGTTCGACAGCATCTGCAACAACAAGTGGTTCACGGACACCTCCATCATCCTCTTCCTCAACAAGAAAGACCTGTTTGATGAGAAGATCAAGAAGAGCCCTCTCACTATCTGCTACCCAGAATACGCTGGTATGGCATGCCTTAAGATTTTTATCATTTACATCTTGGGGCTGACACTAATTTGCAAGCTAAATTACTGGGTGTTTGTAGGGCCTTATGATTTTGGCGATGTGGAAAACGAGGACGGAATTGCAGAATATATACATTTTTTAAATGGAATCTAATAGAATAGAAAATAATTTATTACCATTTGCACAAATACATTATAGTATAAGCACATTGGAATTCTTGTGCGTTTCTCCAACTCAAAAAAAAGATAAATTTATAAAAATATTCACTATAATAAAAAAAGTTAAAATAAATATCAAAAAAAATAACACAATTGAATTACTATAAATAAATAGTAATGGAAAATGTGATGTTAAAATTGTTAAAATGATCTTGTAATTCAAATGCTGCTCAATTGATCAAGTTTTACATCAATGAATAATTCCTGCCATCTTTAATGTCCTGTGCCACTAATCTAACAGTGGCCAGGAAAAAACCTCCTGCGTAGACGAGACCTGTGTGCACTAATTCTCACATTACATTACAAATAACGCAATTTTTAGGTTAATAAATACAGAAACTGTGGAATTCAGGGGAAAAAATGGAAAAAGAATAAAAGAGAAAAATAAATTGGAATTTGGGGTGAAAAATGGATTTAGAGCTTGTTTCCTCATCTACAAACTAAGTATTAAACCTAAAACAGACTATGACCCACTATTGTGCAGCAGCAGTTCCAGCTATGAGCTGCGGCGTCAGGATGTAGCTCAGCCATGTGGCAGGCGGTCATTTCCTCTGAACGTACACTCGTTTTTTTAATATCTCTTCCTCTGCGGCGAGTTCCTGACTGCCCAACATCCTCCTCTCTCGTCGTTCCCAGGCTTTAACACGTACGAGGAAGCAGCCGCCTACATCCAGTGTCAGTTCGAGGACCTGAACAAGAGAAAGGACACCAAGGAGATTTACACCCACTTCACCTGCGCCACAGACACCAAGAATGTGCAGTTCGTCTTCGACGCCGTCACCGACGTCATCATCAAGAACAACCTGAAAGACTGCGGTCTTTTTTGAAGAGCCCGTCGGCAAAAATCAACCCTTTTTTTTAAGTTGGTGAGAAAATATATCCAGTTGCAAATAATGATTGTGGCAGGGTCAATATCCAGAAAACCTCCTCCTTCAACCAATCTGTTTTTATATTTTCTATCTCTTCAGGCGGTGGAGCCAGCTTATTGTGCATCCTCAGTGGGGAAGATAAAAGTTGTGAGGATCCATGATGGACCAGTGCTGTACTATACACCACTTTTACCTGCTTTATTTATGTTTTTTTGTTTTGATTTTGTTTTTTTGTCTCGGAACATTTTGAACTAGCGTTACTGCATCTGTGTAGGCTGTTTGTTTCACTGTAAAAGCATCAACATACTTTCCCTTTTTTTTAAGTTAATCAGTTTTGTTTGAGGAGTAGGAGACTACAATGTTTTTTACTGTTTCTTCTGCTGCCATTTCTGGAAAAAGGAGACTTCGCAAGACGATGGGGAGGAAACGCTCCTTTTTCTTTCTTTCCTACAASACAAAAGGGAAGAAATGAGGACCAACTCTTGAGTCCAGTTTGTTGGTACCCGTGCCTTCGCATGCCTTTTACTGCGGTCGTTGTCTCGATGCTTGTTCTGTTGCCTGCTGATGTGTTCTATACATGAAGAGGTAAACAGTTTTCACATGTTAGTATCTCGACTATCTTCTYTGTACACACCACTGAGCCATCAGGAGGACCGTTTCTCTCTGGTTTATAGGTTCATGGGTCTCTGTGGTGACAAACATGTAGCCTCTACAGTCCCCTAACCCAGCCCCGCCCCCACACCACCTGCCATGAGGGCCTGACCTTCGCTGGCTGATCTCACAGTTTAATACTGAGATGTATATTGTTACGTTTACCCCAAAGATCTGGGGCTCTGTTTTTCTTTTTAAAGTGTATAAAAATGTCTCTTTCCCAAGTCATTCAATAAGCGGTTAGTCGAGGCACTGAGCGTCTGTCATACTCAAGTATTTCAAGTACAGAGACCAGATTTGGCACATTTTATTGTATATTTTAATGTATTTGGAGAAAAGATTTTAAAGTTTTCAGTTTTAGAGAGGGGAAAACAAAAGAATCAATTGTTGATGTTGAAATGATTTTTAGACAGGTCAGATCTTGGTTGACTTTTTTTTCTTAAGAGTAGAGGACCTACTTAAACATTGACAAAGACTTTACTCGATAAAACCTAAGATAGTGAGGATATTCTGGTCTGTAGGTCAGTTGTACCTTATCAGGAGTGGTAACATGCAGTCCTGGATCAGTTCACGTAAAGAAACTGCCACAACTGTCATGCGTGTATGTTCTCCATGTAAGGAGAATCTTTGTAGACTCATCTCCCTTATTTTGCTAATAAAAAAATCATTGACAAACCAGCCAGATGCATCATTGTGAACATTGTGTTTCTGACAATCACTGCTCAGATACTGCTTTCGTTTTTAATCTCCTGCACGTTTCGGACGTCTTGCTTCCATCACGTGCTCCTGTWATGGCAATATTTATTTAACAAAGACATCCTGCCGACAACGCCAAAATCTGTCGTGGTATGATTTACCAAGAYTGCAGAAACACYTTGGAKTAAATGCACAGAAAGTCTGCYTGMATGYTCGTCAAACTGATTTAATTCTGGGCAACAACACTCCTCTAAAGTATAAATGGGTTAGTAAAAACCTAACCTTTCAAACTTGGGGCATTGTTTTGTCATATGTTAAATTTTTACGTCTCTTTCACTCAGCCAGCTTTCAGATGAATCAGCGAGGACCTCTACTCCTCTTGTCTCTGTGCCAGCTCATGTAAATAAAGAGCTTTCCAAACTAAATAAGGTATCACTAACAAAGTCCTTTACAAACCAGGATTCCCTGTGATCACAAAAGGAGTCAAACAGGCAATATGAGATCTCATGTTTGTTGGTGGTTCATARTGGGCGGTCTTGGATTGCGTCTCGACACGACTTCACTAAATGAGATGTTTAAACGCACTAAAAAGAAAACCCCCAGCCTCGACTTATTTTCCTGCTTGCTCGTGATGTAAAGCAGTCTGGAGGCCTGTCGGCGCATCTTTGCATTGTAAATATGTCGTACCATTCTCCGGGAATGGCATCTGTGACGACATCCCTCACAGTACTGCTTCGAATGGGGGTGGGGGGGAGGATTTGCATACTGTTATGTAACATGTAATTAAAGAATATAGTGTCATAATAAAAATATTGTATAACGATGACTCTGCAAAATCTTCAAACTTTTCCTTGTGTTGGAAACAACCACTAAATTTGATCGAGCTACCAGTGGCTTCATGCTACTGCCTTCCACCACAAAAATCTTGTTAAAAATCAATGTAATTGTTTTTTATTTCATCGTAAAAATTGATTACTTTCAATAAAACAAGGCAATCACGTGGGAGATACCCTGTGGGAATCATTTCAGCTATTATTAGCACTTTATTAGCGCCATGAGGTGGTGCTGACAAAGTGGCAAAATTTTGTAGCACAGGTTTGTCTTAACGTTTTACTGTTACTTTATGTCAGGATTTACAGGAAAAATGTGGGAAATGTTAGTTACTTTGTAAACAGTGACAACCATGAAAATCTGTTCACATGCGTGCAAAATGGTTAATGTGATTTAATATTTATAAAGGATGCTCCAGAAGTTTTCAGGAAATCAAAAACTGGAATTTTGCCCAAATAAATTTCAGCTACTGTGGGTTCTGCTGTGTAGCCTACACAAGCTACAGGGGTTAGACAATAAAACTGAAACACCTGTCATTTTTAGTGTGAGAGGTTTCATAGCCTGGTGGCCAATCTTCATTAATTTCACCAGTAAGAGCAGAGTGTGAAAGTTCAGTTAGCAGGGTAAGAGCACAGTTTTGCTCAAAATATTGCAAAGCACACAACATTATGGGCGACCAGAGTTCAAAAGAGGACAAATTGTTGGTGCATGTCTTGCTGGAGCATCTGTGACCAAGACAGCAAGTCTTTGTGATGTATCAAGAGCCACAGTATCCAGGGTGATGTCAGCACACCACCAAGAAGGACCAACCACATCCAACAGGATTAACTGTGGACGCAAGAGGAAGCTGTCTGAAAGGGATGTTATGGTCTAAAACCAGGTGTTTCACTTTCATTGTCTAACCCCTGTAGTTGCTACTGCACTCAGTCTGATTTAAATGTAATTTAGTACACCTGCAGTCCAGTGGGTTTGTAAATGATTGGATTTGTATGGAGCAGGCACCAGTAGCTCTCGCTGGAGCGGTTCGCGGCCGAGTGCGAAGCGGCTGGGAAGAGGCTCAGTGCCTCCAAATCCGAGGCCATGGTCTTGAGCCAGAAAAAGGTAGTGCCTGTTCCAGGTCAGGGTGGGCGCCCTGCCTCAATTGGAGGAGTTTAAGTATCTGGGGATCTTGTTCACGAATGGGGGAAGAAGGGAGCGGGAGATCAACAGGCGGATTGGCGCAGCGTCTGCTGTAAAGCGGGCGCTGTACCGGTCCGTCGTGGTGAAGAGAGAGCTGAGTCAAAAAGCGAAGCTCTCGATTTACCGGTCGATCTACGTTCCTACCTTCATCTATGGTCATGAGCTTTGGGTCATGACCGAAAGAACGAGGTCCCGGATACAAGGGGCCAGGGTGGCTGGTCTCTCTTAGAGATAGGGTGAGAAGCTCGGTCATCCGGGAGGGACTCAGAGTAAAGCCGCTGCTCCTCCACGTCGAGAGGAGTCAGTTGAGGTGGCTCGGGCATCTGGTAAGGATGCCTCCTGGACGCCTCCCTGGTGAGGTATTCCGGGCACGTCCCACCTGGAGGAGGCCCCAAGGAAGACCCAGGTCACACTGGAGGGACTATGTCTCTCGGCTGGCCTGGGAATGCCTTGGAGTTCCCCCGGAGGAGCTGGAAGAAGTGGCTGGGGAGAGGGAGGTCTGGGCCTCCCTTCTYAAGCTGCTGCCCCCGCGACCTAACCCCAGATAGGCGGAAGAAAATGGATGGATGGATGGAGGCACCGGTAGTGACATCACAAGCCAAGCAGTAGCATAATATAGCAGGTGCCAGAGTGCCTACTAAATAAGTTAGTGAAAGTTACCAGACCCAGAGACTCGGGGGTAGAGCTAGACTTTATTTTTGCAAGGGGTGGCTGAGGTGCTTATCGGGGGCACATGGAAACATAGAAAAGCACAATGGATTTGAAAATTCAAGATGATTGCCACAGCTAATTCCAAGTAGCTTTAATTCAACTATTTTATGAAATATTGAGCTGAATGTGTGATCATAGCTAAAAATTATCAAAAAACAACTTATTCTTAAGCTAATTTTAGACATAAAGCTGAAGGTTAGAGCAAAAGTAGCCAAAAACTGTTTTTTTTCCTACATTTTTCTGCTAATCAAAACTTCAAGATGGCCACCACAGCTAACTTTAAAAGGCTCTAATTCATCCATTTAAAGACTTAAGATGAAATTTGTTGTGGTGTAGCTAAGAACAATTGCATTCCAACTGCAGATCACACAATGCTAATTTTACAAAGGGCTATAATTCAGCCATTTTAAACATACACAGCTGAAAATGTGTGTAGTACAGTAGTATCAGAGAATAATTTTTAATAAAATGTTAACGCAAATACAAAGCGCAAATAGAAAATCCAATTAGGTGCCAGGGGTGGCACTTCCCACCATGGCCACCCCTCTGACTTTGCCCCAGCAGAGACCCAGGAGTTGTACTGCACATTGGCCAGAATTGTGGTGCGTACAGATGTGACCGCTGTGGTCCAGTACTGGAACGAATGAACGCACTCAAGGCGGACCACATCAAGAGAGGATGGCCGTGTCGTGTGCCAAACATTAGCYAACCACATGGCATCTGCGCCTGCCATCTGCACACAGGACTCTACAACACACCGTGTCATCCTACACATGTCTCGACAACTTGTATTAGCCAGACTATAAGTTCACTGTTCTCAGCYCGGCATTATCGCCAAATAAGGGCTGATTTTGGAGTGGTGCGTGGAGTTACGATGAATGGTTCTATACTTTTACAGGGAATTCTTTGTATGGCAATATCAGAAGATGAAGACAGTCTTTTCAACGTGCAGACGGGTATTACCACTGGCAAAATTATGTGGGGGAGGCCTTAGGATATGACTTCAACTCACTTCTGGTGATGATGATTCATGCACCCTAATAGCACAGATATACATCAAGGACATCCTGTCTCCATGTCTTACCTCTCTTGAGACAGCAACCTGGACATTCAGCAAGACAATGCTTATCCACCTACACAGAATGTGAAACTTGTTAGAGGAGGTAACATGATTTATGCAGAGGTTTGGCAGCTTTAGGCCAGAAAGATTTGTCATTCACAAATGTATGAGCTCCAAACCAGATTTCATGAGAAAGTGAGTCAACAGAATATTCCAAAACAATGTTTTAGTGAGCTACTTAAGAAAAAAATGTGGAAAATTTGATTAGGAAAAGCCACAGTTCAATGCATATATCTATCGTAGAAATAGCTAAAACTTGCAGTTTATATACAGAAACTAATCAGCATTCTTTTTTCTCAATGTATATTGAACAATCTCCTTCTAAGAATGCTCTATTTTATGTTTTCTTTATTCAGAAAGTCCCAGTGACCTCTTCACACACACACAAGTTAAATTCATTTTCTTGCATCGCACACATGCACACAGTACCATATAGACTGGCAAAACTGGAAACCAAACCACAGTTTTCTGATTGGTGAACCACTGGTTATTCCTAAGCTACGGTATCATACCTACTTTTCATGAGATGGTTCAAGCCTTTTACATGTCAAATGTATTATAGTTCACTACAACATTCCATGAAGCTGAGCTACTTTTAATCAGGCTATATTGGTGTCACCTGCGCCTTTCCTGTTGTATTGAGTCAGAGCATCTCCAGAATTCAGGTATCTCTGCACCGAAGACCAACACATCAACAATCCTCTGGTAAGTCTTTTTGAATTCATTGTCCTGTTTGTACCACTGCTTCCCAAACTTTTCTGACCCACAAAATATCCGTGGCAGAAGCTCGTGACACCAAATACTACAGGTCTGAGTACACAAACTTTGTCAATTACCATAATATTTAATAATTTATGATTATTCTATGTATTTTTGTACTAACTATAGGAAAAAATATGACATCACCAATCTTTTTTTTTT